TATTTGCAATTTATAAAGTGTTTCTGCAGACACAGCTCATATAATTCTCACAACAATGCAGCACTTTGAGCATTATCCCCATTTTGAAGTGAAGCCAATAGGTTCAGAAGTTCAAGATTTTTTAAGTGAGTCAGAACTGAAGTCTTCTGCCCTGGTGTTGTGTTTCTTTCTTTTCTATCCATAATTTGTTTCTCTTTTTTTGATTGCAAAATAATACACACTCATTATTTGAAAACAGAAGTGCTAAGAAGAAAAAAAGCTACCTGTATTCTCTTCTTAGATAACCCTTTTAACATTTTTGGTTATTTTCTACTGTTTGGGATATTTTTCTTTACTTTTCTTTGATGAAAAGAGAATGTCCTCAGAGAGCTCATGGAGAGATGGCCGAAGCAGCAACCTCCTTAGTGGAGGAGTGTTCCCCATCAAAGCTCCTCACTGCTGATAAAAGCCAGCCACCATCCTGGCCCTCCTAGTCTTCCTTTTCTTGAAAATACTTCAAAGCTTCTTGTGGCTGTGGGGGGGCCCAGGGGGAAAGGCTTGTGGAGCCAGACCCAAAAGTTCTTGGACATTATAGATTCAGATGGAGGTAAAAAGTGGTTTTCTAACTAAAAGTACCTAACACAGAGAAGGCAGTGGGAGAGAGGATGAGAAATACTGGGGGCAGTGTCTCCCAAGGCACTCCCTCCGGTCTAGTGTGTAGTATAGTCAGGGCTTGAGCCCAGAGTTCCAGTATCTGTTTCCTTTTTTTTTTTTTTTTTTTTTTTTTAAGATTTATTTATTTTATGCACACAAGAGCTGGGGTACAGGCCAGAAATGCGGGGAGTGAGAGGATTCACCAGAGACAGAGTGGGGAACAGAACAGGCAGATCAACTGAAATACACTGCTGAGGGGAGCAGTGGGCCAGATAGGAGAGGTCTGCTGCACCTGTGGTTAGCTTGCTGGCTGGGAATCAAACTCGTACTTCATTGGCTATGGATAGCTCCACAGGTTGTTTCTTAACCCTTGTGCCACCAGGGAGGCCCACCTTTTTTTAAAAAAAAAAATTATTTATTTATGTATATAAGAACTGGGGCCACAGGTGCGGGGGTGGGGGGTGGGGTTGAGAGGATTCACCAGAGTGGGAGCAGAACAGGCAGATTGACTGAAATACACTGCTGAGGGGAGCATTGGGCGAGACAGGAGAGGTCTGCTGCGCCATGTGGGTAGCTCCCTGGTCAGGGATCAAACTCATGCTGCAGTGGCTGTGGGTAGCTCCATAGTGCCTCGTCTTAACCCCTTGCACCACCAGGAAGGCCCCAGTTACTGTTTCCTTTGAACCTACATATCAGATCCTGTCACCTTGACGTGTGAGGGTCTTATCTATATTATTTTGGTTATGCTTAAAATTTTTATATAAGATGTTGCTTTTTGGTGTAAACTGACTGTTGGGGCTCAGCAATCTTTTTGTTTTATATATATTTGCATATATATTATATATATTTGCATATATATTATATATTTGCATATATATTTGTTTTATATATTTGCATATATATTATACATGTTATATAAAGATATTGTAATATGCCTAAATTAATGTAATTTAGGTCATTGTGAAGCAATCAATTATTCTGGTAATGCTCTAGAATCTTTCCTTGAGAAAGATTCACACATGTTAACATTCAATATGTATTACATGACTATTACACATTATGTAATATAATTCATACTATAGGTTAAAAAAGCAGCAAAAATAATAAGCTACAAAGACAAAAGTTATCTAGACATCCTGGCCCACATCATTTTTGGGGAAATAATTACCTGTATAAAGAAATGTGTTGGAGTGGCCTCCCACCACGACGTCCACTCCCTTCACTTTCTGAGCGATGAGTTTATCCATCTCAAAGCCAGAGTGTCCCAGTGCAATTATTTTGTTCACACCTAGAGTTGTTAGTTTATCAACTTCAGGTTGTAAGGCAGCAATTTCTTCTTCAAATACTAAATCTCTTCCTGTGGAGCAAAATAAATAAAATGGACATTATTTGGCAGTAATTTTTATTATATTACTTATTATACACACTGATATGCCAGTAAAAGACACCTTCATATATTGAGGCTCTTCACTTACTTAGACTAACACATATTTATAAATCACATATGAAATCCCTAGAAAGCCAAAAAAATTTCCATCAATAGCCTCAGTTACAATCACTCAGTGTTACATTAGTTTAGGATTGTGAATGATAGTATGTTGCTCAAATTCCATGTAAAATTATGAGGAGGTTTCAGACCTGGAAATCTATTTTTAATGTGTTTTATATTTAGATTTCTGTTATGCCAATGCAGAAAATGAGCACACAAGTGTGATAACTATATGTATGCCAAGTCATAATGCTATATGTACACCTTTAACCTACACAGCATTGTATGTCAAATATATTGGTACGTATTATACATGTATACCCTAACTCTTCAGCCATGAATTCAGCAGCCCCTGAAATCAAGTCCTCACCCAACTTTCCAGCTTTCCCTACTCCGAAACTTTGTTCTAGGAAACTACACCTTCAGCTACCTTGTGACTGTGGTCCCTGCGCACTCCTGCTCTCACCATTCATCCCAGCAACATTCACTGAGAACTTCCCAACTGCTGCTCCCCGCCCCCGCCACCTGTGTCTGTTCTACTGAAGGCCCTTGGCCCTGGGGTTCTTGACAGGACCCTCCAGGGGTCAAGGAGGTCTTTGCTCAAGTCTGTCTGCCCCCACCCAAGGCAACCATCACTTTACCCAAGCCCCCTTCCTCTCTCCCTCCGACTTCACAACTCTCTTGTGGTATTTAATTACATTCTATCTTAAGTGAACTACAAAAAAACAGTGGACAGAATATAAATTATGGAGACATAGTTTGCTTTCGAGTTTGCTGCCTAATAAATATTTATTTAGTTTTTCAACAAGTCTACATCTTTATCTGAAATTCCCAGCTGACCTCTATGTTACATTCCAGATGTTCATTGAGAGGAGACACAGGTTCTGTACTCTGGTTGCTCAGGCCGCTGCTGACAGGTAGAGACTAAGGTGTTTTCTGGTGTTATCGGTACTCAGACTAGGAGCATCTGACCAGGTGGCCACTGTAGCAAGAGGCCACTCATCCCAACCCTACTCACTGGGAGCATTTGGTTTGTTAGAAGTGAGGCAGCTTGCTTTGGTGGTGGTGTGGTGTAGTAACATATATCTGAGGAGGTGTGACTCTGACTCACATACAGTGCTGTAATCAATGTGGTCTCAGTAAGAAAGAAAACAAAGAAAAAAAGGCATCAGGCAGTCTGGCTCCCTCTGTAATCTCAGCCCTATCCTCTTTGCAGAAGCCCACTCTCCCCCCCCACCCCTCACCCCCGAGTCCTCAGGTCGAAGCCTGCCAAAGTCACTCTGGTGGGATCACATCCTTTTTTTTTTTTTTAAAGATCCATTTATTTATTTATACAAGCACTGGGTACAGTCAGAAGCGCAGGAAGGTGAGAGAATTCACCAGAGCCAGAGCGGGAACAGAGCAGGCAGAAGGACCGAAGTACACTGCTGAGGGGAGCAGCGGGAGGCAGGAGAGGTCTGCACGCCATGTGGGACCCTCCTTTGGTGGCCGGGTTGCAGCCGGGGATTGAACCGGCGCCGCAGAGGCTTCGGGCAGCTTCGCAACCCAGCGCTCAACCGCTGCGCCACTGGGGAGGCCCGGGATCACATCCTTTTAGTCAGAGGAACACCTTTAAGACACTTAAAAAATAGGTGACACTTGACATCCACAATGGCGCTCTGGCTCCCCCATGACCTCAACAGTAACAGCTATTGACCATATGTCCACAGTGTGCAAAGGCCTGGTCACCGTGGGGCAGATGTCCACCCCCTGGGAGGGCCAGATAATCTCAGTCCCAACAGTAGGGAGCAGGAGAGCCTTGTCTGTTCTGTGGCTGAGTGGCCGCAAGGCCCTCTCCCCTCAGAGCCCAGCAGCTGCTTGGGTTGAGGGCACCTGACCTTCTGATGTTGCTTTGAATGGCCTGCATCTGTTAAAAACAATAAATAATATATTATGTATTTGTATGCTAAATTAAAAATATCTTCAATGTATTATATTATATTAAATGTTATATTTTATTATGTTATATTATATTTTATTATATTAAATGTTATAGTCTATTATATTATATATTATATTTATTATATAATATATGATATCATATTATTATATTATATTAATATTATATTATATTAAATGTATATTAATTTATATATCATATATTATTTTTCTAATTGTTAAATAGCAGCATGTCCTATGTTAATTCTGTTTTTAAATTGAAGCATCATTTTTTCATTCTTTTTTTTAAGATTTATTTTATTTATTTATGTATACAAGAGTTGGGGTGCAAGCCAGAGGTGCAGTGAGTGGGGAGGGAGGGGAGTGAGAGGATTCACCAGAGACAGAGTGGGGAGCAGAACAGGCAGACTGACTGAAATACACTGCTAAGGGGAGCAGTGGGCAAGTCAAGAGAGGTCTGCTGTGCCATGTGGTTATCTGGCCAGGGCCTGCCCATAGCTTCATGGTGCTGAGACTTAACCCCTTGTGCCACCAGGGAGCCTCCTTTTTTTCATTCTTGTCAGTGTTTTGACAGTATAGGATGTCCCCCTCAGGTGTGATTGCCGACGCACTCCCACCAGGGAAGCAGCCACAGTCTTGCACCAAGTCCCTTGTGCTCTGCCCTCCCCTCAAACCTCTGGATGCCTCAGATCTATGGTCAGCTTTCAAGGGTTGGTTTTAAAGTTTGTCTTTGACCCTTTGTTTGGTTTCTCTGTATTCCACATATAAACAACACCATCCTGTATTTATCTTTCTCTTTCTGGCTAATGCTTGCTCCTGGTTTCCCAATTTCCTTTTTTTTTTTTTTTTTAAGGGAGATAAATTCTTTTTTTTTTTTTTAAGATTTATTTTTATTTATTTATACAAGCACTGGGTACAGTCAGAAGCACGGGAGGGTGAGAGAATTCACCAGAGCCAGAGCAGGGAGCAGAGCAGGCAGAAGGACTGAAGTATACTGCTGAGGGGAGCAGCGGGCAGCAGGAGAGGTCTGCATGCCATGCGGGACCCTCCTCCGGTGGCCAGGGAGCAGCCGGGGATCGAACCGGTGCTGCAGAGGCTGCGGGCAGCTTTGCAACGCAGCGCTCAACCGCTGCACCACCGGGGAGGTCCTCCCAATTTCCTTTAAATAAGGAAAGAAAATTTGTTTCGATAATTTAAAGAAAATGCCATTTTGTTTTCACTGCCAAGGTTTTCAGTGAAAGTGGTTCAAATGTTTCTTGAATGGTCTTAACATTGTAGAATAATGTATGTACACATATGTATACACAAATACATGTATATTGTAGCAGCTTTATATTAGAATATAGATATACACATGTATCTACACACAGACACAACAAAGTCATTAAAACTACAAGAGATAAATAATGAAAAGGAAGAAGGTAGAGTTAACTAGACATGTCATAATCATACTAGAAAAGGAAAAGATAGGGTGTACTGAGGAAAAGATAGGGTGTACTGAGCTCTGGGTCCCTGGTTCTGAAGAAGGAAGGGCAGTGAATTACATGAGTCTCATTCTGGAGTAAGTGACTCTGTATTGTTTCGCACTGGTTACAAATAGCCTTTCACCCAATTTTGAACTCACTGATTTTAAACAATGATATTGTTTATGTCAACAAAGAAGTTCATTGAGCAGAAGAGTGAATGTCTTCAAGGCGAAACTGAGAACAACATGGAAGTCACTAGATGGATTTCATCAATGTCATCCTAAGAACAATACCATATGTGATTCCTGTTATTATCTATAATGTCCATTAAAATAACACCAAATCCTGAGTTAGTGCATCTATTTTCAAGCAACGCATGTCAAAAGAGTAGAAAATACCTGGATTTGAGAGATAGGGCGTTTCTTGTGAGGTATATCTAACAATTCCCACCTTTTCACCACCAATGGAAATAGCTTTATATGGAGCATAAAGTCCTGATATTTGAGATGCTAGCGGCCCCTTTGCTTTAATGTTTGCACTCAGAATTGGAAATGTGGCGTTTTTGAGGAGTGGATCAATCAGTCCTTCTACACCATTATCAAATTCATGATTTCCCAGTGCCTAGTAGAAAGAGGAAGAGAAAAAAGAATTAGGAACTCTGGAATTTCCAATAGAAGCATACCTTGAAGAGCATTACACTAGGCCAGAGGCACACAGACCTGGCTGGGCTCTGGGAGGGTAACTCCATGGCTTCTGTCCTCATGCCCATAAATCTTACTCAATGGCCCTGAGGCTTGGCTCTGGGACACTGAGCTCTCTGGCTGCTCTCCAGCCCCCACACCAGGGGAAGGAAGGTGGCCTCAAGGCTCATCAGGTCCCCTGGAGAGCTGGCTACAGGCCACTGACTTGCCAACCCCCACTGGAAGCAGGCTAGAGGGTCTGCATGGTCTTTTCACATAAATCCCCATTTCAATGCAAGAACCCAATCATCCCAACCTCCATCTTGGGAGAACTGTCTTTCTTCTCACAGCCACTTGGTTATAATCTACTATGTCCCCATAATTGTTTCCTCACAAGAGCTCCATAGTCCTCAGTGGAGAAAGAAGATTCACAAAGGCAAGCAGGAGATGGCACTGTCTTACAGTGTGTCATCTGTTTCTTCTTTTGGGACCACCCTGTGTTTCATTCCCGGCTGTGTCACAGGTGACGAAATGATCACATGACTCTGGGGGTTCTGGATACCTCCTGAGCAAAGGGCTTGGTGAGACCTGGCATGGGTTCTGCCTCCATCTCCTTTTCTGTCTCCCATCCCTCACTGCTCTGGGAGTGACCACTGGGTGGGTACAAAATAATCAGCTCTGACTTCAGCAGCTCCTTCTGACAAAACATGACACATCATTCACTTCCCTGAAGAACCTTCCATCCTCTCTCCATGACCCTCTGAATAGTCCCGTCTCCTTAAAGCTCTATCTCCCTGCTGCTATCTCCCCCTGCTAGACCTAGCTCCCTACTGCTCAGGCTGCCGAGGCTGATTCCCTGAGTACTTAAATGTGTGTTTCCAACTTGCTCAACAGCTTTACTTCGCAGGTCAATTTGGAGCAGGCTTGAACGTGCTGACTGGTGGCCCCTCCATAAATTAATGTTACCCCGCCCCCCATATTGTCTTATGGACCCACCCGCTGCTTCCTTATTAGCACTTCCTTCACCCTAAGGGCATGTCTACTTGTTGGGTGGTGTGGGGGGTGGGGTATGTGGGGTGGGGTGGGGGGGGGCAGGCCCTGGCCAGGCCAGACCCAGTTCTCTCGGGCTGCCCCCTGCCCTCCCCTCCCAGGTAGGCATGCCCTGATCATCTGGGCTCAAAGGAGAAGGTGCATGATGTTTCCCCTGTGCATATGCTTGTCCAGAGAGAGCAACACGATACTACTTCTGCATTCGCCCTTCCCCCATCCATCTCTGAGGATCTAACCATTTTTAAATCTATTTGCTATTTACTTCTAATTGCTTCCATCTTAAAGGCTGATCTAGACTTAAATATTCTCTCTGTTTTGGGTGACTGTCACCTTTTTTCTCTTCTATTCTTGGAACTTCATGTTTTCTTTTTATGGGGAAATAAGTCTCCCTTATCAGATGATATTAACTATCTTACTTAATGGGCTTATAATTCCTGAAAGCTTATCCAACTGTCAGTCACAGGGCATTTTATTGACGGCATTTTACTGTGGGTATTCAGCAAACATGGACTGCTATATTTTCATATGTTTGTTCTGTGGTTCATGCCTCCTCCCCCAACTTGAGTGCAACCCCTGAAAGTGTTGATTTTGGCCATCTTTTCACCTCTCTGTCCCCTTGGGGGCACAGGTCCTGATCTGGGTGCTTAGGCTGCTGTGTGGTCTCACTGAATGGTCTCATTCATATTTGCACCTTCAACTCCAAACATAACATTTGCTGCCCTGACTTTTCTCCTGACCTCTAGATCTAATGTCTAACTGCTACATGAACATTTCCTCCCAACATCTCAAAAGCACCCCAAACCTATTTTGTGCTCAAAATAGCCCCCCAACACTCCCTCTCTTACCCAAGATACCATCATCTACCCAGGCAATAAAAGCAGTAACCCTGGAGCTGCTGGATCTCTCCCCATCACTCACTCCCTTACCTCCTACGGGCATTCCTCCCCTTGCCTAAATGCCCCATTTAGTCCATTCATTGCTGTTATCTGAGTGCAATCCTTGCTCCTGGACTATAAATTAGGAAGCAGAATCCTCCTTACTGGGCTTTTAGCTATCCACATTCTTTTCTCTGACCCATCCTAGATATACCCTATCTATGTGTGCCACCTCTATATATTGCTTCCAGAATAAGCTTTCTCATATGCACGTGAGATCTTGTCATCCCCGCTGTAAGTTCCTCCAGTGGCTGCACTGCCTTTGTGGTTAAATTCAACATCCTGAGTCCTCGGTACCTAGGTTTTGAGATCTGGCCTTATATCTCACCTCACTCCCCCAGCCAATGTCTGACATCTACTCTCTAACATGTGAGGCTACGAGGCGGGGCTGCCTCTGCTGCTTATGAGCTGTGAACAGGATGGTTTCTAACCACAGCTATTCTGGAGGGGTAGTGAATACACATAAGTTGTAATGAGAATAAACCAGCATTTAATAAACACTTGCTACACACAGCTATCACGCAAACTGTTTTGTATAACAATGTAATTTTGTGCTGTGAAGTGCGTGTTATAACTATTATCAATTTACAAGAAAAAAATGAGATCTAGAGAAGTTAAACACATTGTTCAAGGTCACATAAATAATTAATAAGTAGTAGAAGTGGGGCTAGAACTACTGCTGTTTGACTCCAACCTTCATAATCTCTATGCTTGGGTCTAAGGGTTGAGGCTGGACATAGTGAGCATTTCAAATCAAACCCTAAAATGCTTGCAGTTTTCCTGCTCTCACTATCTCTGACCCTCTGTAGATGAGAGATAAGGATCAACTAATTGATACACAGCTAGGTAGACAGAATAGAAAAGTCCTTTTTCATGTCATGCCTGTACTAACTTATTCAACTAATGGTTTAATTACTGAAGTCTGATGGCCCTTTTCAAAGAGAAACATCCCAAGAAGTCTTCCTATCCCCTGTCTGAGCTATCTGCCCTTCCTCTGCTCTAATGGTCACGTCTGTGCAGCCCCAGCAGACGTGCACCTGCGCACTCAACCCCTCTCACCTCTGGCTCACTCCCTGGAACAGGGCAGGGATCCCCCATTGTGTGAGTACATGATGAAGCAAAGAAAGCTCTAACCAGTTTCCTGTGTGTATATACAGCATTACCTACAAACAATGCAGAAAAATTCCTTGTAAATACTCATTTTCTGCACAGACCTCTCCTGTGTCACCCCCTGCTCCTTTGCAGATATTTCAATAAATCCACCTTTTCTGTTCTTAAACATAAACACTCATTTTCTTTAGAAATGTGAATATCCATTTCCATTCCTTGACTTTCTCCACCTGTCTTTCTTCAACAGCACTTACTAGAACTTCATTATTCACAGCTTTCAGAAGAAGGACACACAGCTCACCAGCCACACCAGGCTCCTGTCATGTGGCTGGCAAATGGGGGCACACGAGAAATGTGTTATATAAATTGATTGTATTTCCATGTCAATTTTGTATTAATAACATGAAAATACCTCAGAACGATCTGCCCAAGAGAAGGACTTGGAGCAATAAGAGAACAGAACAGAGCAGGTCACCTTTCCGTGTTCCTTTATCTTACAGGGAGTTTATGGAAAAAACAGAAGAGATTTAAAAATTTATAATGCAGTATCATTCCACTTTGCTTTTGGGTCCTCTGTGAAAATTTCTGTTCATGTTTCTTACATGTGCTTATAAGTCCTTGGTTGCTCTGGCACCCAGTTTCCCTTGTGTCTTTAACTGCCCATCCTGATCTGAGCTAAACTGTCACTGACCACTCATAGCTATGACCCCCACATCAGAAAGTGACTTTGTGACCCTGTCATATTCTTTTTTTTTTTTTTTAAAGATTTATTTATTTATTTATACAAGCACTGGGTACAGTCAGAAGCACGGGAGGGTGAGAGAATTCACCAGAGCCAGAGCGGGGAGCACAGCAGGCAGAAGGACGGAAGCACACTGCTGAGGGGAGCAGCGGGTACAGCAGGAGAGGTCTGCGCACCATGTGGGAACCTCCTCTGGGGCCAGGGAGCAGCCGGAGATGGAACCAATGCTGCAGAGACTGCGTGCAGCTTCGCAACCCAGTGCTCAACCGCTGCACCACCGGGGAGGCCCCCTGTCATATTCTTATGCTCGCTCTCCTTTTCCTCCTTCGCCTTCCCCCTTTCTTTGCCTTCCAAATATTTCATTTGTAATATTGGGCTCATTCATTTTTTTTTGGCTCATTCATTTGCTAATCACATTCATGCACTACTTCTATCCCTATGACAATGTTGTATAATTTTATTACAAACACTAAATTTACCAAATGCACTTTTTCTGTAATTTAAGAGTTGAGTCTAGCAAAATGACCATCAGCATCTCCAACACCAGTATCATACAAGTATAATGTGAGCATATGGTCAAGCATATGGTCTAGTATAATGTGAGCATATGGTCTAGCCTCAGCTGCTCTCCCTCACTGCTTTCTTTGTGCCGGAGATGTCTTAAATATTACTAAAAAACCCCATAAAATTTGGGTGCCATACTATCTATTTAGCCCATTGCATTATGTCTAACTACCCAAACACCTGGAATGTTACCTGACTTTTAAAGCTAAAAACACAGGGCCTCCCTGGTGGTGCAAGGAGTTAAGTGTTAGCACCATGAAGTTATCAGGAGCCACTGCAGCATGAATTCGATTCCCGGCCAGGGAGGAGACTCAGATGGTGCAGCAGACCTCTCCTGGCTCTCCTGCTGCTCCCCTCAGCAGTGTATTTCAGTACATCTGCCTGTTCTGTTCCCCACACTGTCTCTGGTGAATCCTCTCACTCTTTGCACCCCTGGCCCACACCCCAGCTCTCAAATGCATAAATAAATAAAACAAATCTTTAAAATATATATATAGCTAAAAATATGAAAAAGGACAATGGAGATTCCTTTCTTCTGTG